TTTGTCCAATGGACCCAATTTTTTCTTTTTAACTTCTAGTTGGGCTGAGGTAAAAGGAATGCAGGTGTAGAAGCCAGTCTGCATACATAGTGAGTTTTAGTGTAGCCTGGGCTACATATAGGGATAGAGATGTAGGCAAAGTGAGTACAGTGCTTGCCTAGAATGCATGAGGCCCTGGTTTGATTCTTAGTACTGCACAGGATGACACATGCTTGTAAAACCAGAACTCGGAAGGTGGGGGTGAGGGTCATCCTTTGCTACTTAGAGTGCAAAGCCAGGCTAGACTACTTGATACCCTACCTAAAAAGATAAATAAAAAGAAATCTCTTTGGGCTCAGGGTATAACTTTATAAGCATCTGGCTGTTCTGTGTGAGGCCTGTGTTTGATCATCCAGTACTGGGGGAAAGAGGGGACAACTGAGAAGAACTTTCTGTTGTCGTTATTGCTGCTAGCTTGAACTGCCTTTCCAGTGGAGTGTCAACATTCAGAGTATTAGTGTATCTCACAAGAAGGGTTTCCAGACTCTCATGACAAAGGTCATGCCCTTCTCAGCATGAACCTCTGGACATGGTGGCTGGCTCACAGGGTTCCATGTATTTAGGCTATTATTTCCCTACTTGGATACAACAGCAGCCACATGATCAATGTCTTTTTTCATCATTAAGGTTGCTGTAATCATATAAGCTGGGACGACAGTGAATTACATCTCGTGTCTCTCTATGTCCCTATTAAAAGAGAAATCGGGCTGGAGAGATGGTTCAGTGAGTAACGTATTTGCCATACAAGCATAGGAACTGGAATCCCAGCACTCATTACTAGCTGGTGTGACCGCACATGTCTGTGTCCCCATTGGGGAGCAGACAGGTGGATCCCAGAGACTTACTGGCCACACGGTTTGGGGGAATCAGTGAGCTCCAGGCTCAGTGAGAGACCTTGTCTCAAAAACAAAAGGTAAAACAAGCAAACAAAAACAAAAAGCAAACAAACAAAACAAAAACTAAGAAAATAAAAACCAAGAAAAACAAGTGACTTAGATATGGTAGTACATGCCTTTAATCCCAACACTTAGGAGGCAGAGGCAGGAGGATCTCTGTGAGTTTGACAAAGCAAGTTTCATACCAATTGTGGCTACTCTGGCTGCTACACATGTTCACACGCACACACATACACACAAGACTTAAATGTTTTTCGATAAATATCTTTTTAAAAGAAAGGAAGAACAAGCCCGAGGAGAGGCAAGTTTATTCAGCTTTCTTCCTGGGTTCCATAAACTCCAGACCTTCTGAAGTGGAAGACACATTGAAGAATAGACAACAAATGGGTTCACCCAAGTTTCTAGCGGCCTCAATGCACATAGACCCGCATTAGACCCACATACCCTCCCAAGTGACTGTCCCTGGGCATCAGGGCTTGCACTAAGTCCATGAGCCTTTGTTAAGGAAAAGCAAAACTAAAAACCAGACACCATAGCTTGAAAACAAAATTGTCACATTTATTTTGAGTTCATAAATAAATGGGGGCTGAGGGGGAAGCTAAGGGTGCTGAGAGAACTGGACACATGGCTCTATGTTTTGCAACAGATGCCACAGTGAGGATTGTTACAGCAGCGACAGCAGAAGACGCAGACTGGGAAGTAGGTGTCCCGCTTCGTTCGCATTGAAATCGGGAGCTGCATGGAATGGAAGAGAAAGTGAGCTGCTTTGCTTGGGCGTGGCAAAGGTTGGGGGGATCAGGAAGGGAGCCCCAATTGCTCTTACCGTCTCGTCGGCCCTGCCTTCTGCCCCGTGCCCAGGCTGTAGTGCTTCAGGCTGTCTGGCCTGTGAAAGCAGAAAGGGTACCTGAGTATTGCAGTCTCCAGCATAGCTTTCTGATTCAACTCTGCCAACTTGTTCCTTTCCCAGGGGCTTAGGGACCTGTTTAGATGGAATTCCTGGAAGAGGCCTCACTGCCCTGATTTTCCCACCACTCCTTGTATGTTCTGCTTCCTAAAAGCACCCACCTTTTTTGATGCTGAACCCTCCTCCTGGACACTACCCTCCCAACGGGTCTGCCTGCATCTTATAAACCCTTATAAGCCAACCATCACATAACACAGTAACTTCTCATTATTACTGCGATTGTGGTTTTCCCTTTCTCAGCAACCCAAGGACCAATCATCGTCTGCATAACTGTCCACAAAGCTTGGCACAGCCGGAACCACCACCATCCTCTCCCTACTCCCAACACTGACTCCACTCTTCAGACCCTACAGACCCAAGGATCCTGTGAGTGCCTTTCACTTGAGTGCCCATTCTCCTGTCACAGCTCCAAGGCATAAATCTGGTGTCTTTGTTGCTGTTTGAGACAGGGTTTTCATAGCCTAGGTTGGTCTTGAACTTGCTATATAGCCAAGGATGACTGTGAACTTCTGGTTCTCCCTCCTCCACCTTCCGAGTGCCCACACCAAGCCTGGTTCTGTAGCATTTTCTTTCTTTCTTACATGTGTATGAATGTTTTGCATGTACACCACATGCATATCTAGTGCCCATGTAGCTCAAAAGGCATCAATCAGATGCCCTGGAAGTGAGTTAAAGATGGTTGTGAGTCACCACCATACAGGTGCTAGGAACGGACCCAGATCCTCTGCACAAGCATCAAATGCTCTAACTGCTGAGCCGCCTCTCTGGTCCCTTCAGTATCATTTTCTTATAAAATACTTTTGCTTGGTGTTCTGCATCTCTGTCCCAGCTCTGGTTCTTCCTCATGATAGTCATTCTGCCCGTCATCTCTTGTGCTATCCACAAACAAGTGTTTTCTAAACAGTCATTGAGAGGCAGTTTAAGAAATGCTCTGACCGGGATGGGACAGCCAGAGGAACATTTTGTCTGACTTTCCAGCATGTTCCTTATGTCCACTTCCCATCATGCCTGTGCAGCTAGAGGGGGTGCCTCAGCCCTTCCTCTCAGGACCACCCTTGCCCCTTCAGTAGCTGCCCTGAACACTCGGTGCTTAGCCCCCTGCCTCCCGGGGAATGGCTCTCCCATTGCAGTAGGCCTGGGGTGCTCACCAGCTGTTGGAGAAAGGAGCTGCTGGCCAGGCTGGCGATGAGGAGAAGCAGGAGACAGGCAGTCTGGATCTTAGTGCACCGTGCCATCTTGCCTTCTGTCCTGTTGTGCAGTCTAAGGACTTGCCTGGTGTCTGGGACCCAGTCCTAGTCCTTTTTATGGGACCAGTTGGAGGAGGGGACGCCTGAGCCCCCTCCCCTTTGCCCTGACTCATTTCCAAGAAGATAGTGGCGCCGAACAGGCGGGAGAGATAAGCGGGAACAGAGTGACAGGGGACAGGGTTGTGTCACCCTCAGCCAGCAGAGGTGCACCCAGGGGGTGGGGCAGCTAGGGCCATGGACACAAGCCTCCAGCCAGCCACCTGTGTTGTCACCCTGTGGCTCTCAGAAAAATTCCCCTTTTTTCCCCTAGACACTGCCCCTCACTCTTATCAGTGTCTTCAGTATAGCTGTCATTCACTGGGCTCTTCAGGACACAGCAATGGGGTATACATGTGCAGGGTGCATCCTAGAGTGAGTCAGGACAGCAGCCAAAGGACTGGACAGATGCCCAAGCATAGGTTGCACCATGGTGTTCAGTGTCCAGACCATATGATGTAGTTGTGTTGAAGTCACCTTGTGCCTACGGTGGTGGTGGTCATTATTCATAGCCAGAGTCAACACATTTCACAGTCCAGCATATGAACTAGTTCATTCTTTCACACGCCAGGGTGCACATTAATTCACTGTGTCTTTCACACCAGTACCAAGTCACGTTCGTGTTAACAGCTGATGCCACTTGGCCTCCAAGTAGATGCCTGCGTCCTCCTAGGCTTTATTAGTGTTTAGGCCTAAAGTTGCCTTCTCAGCACCGACCCCAGGGGCCTGGCCTGATCTAGTCATCAAAACTTCCATCTCCCTCTAAGCACAGGAGACACAGGAGTGGATCATGTTCGACTTGGCTTGGCAGAGCAGACTATGCACATCACGCAACTCCTAAGTGCAGTGGTTCGGACAAAACCTTCTCAATTGCCATGCTCGGAGAATTTACACCACAGAAACTGGTACGCAGCACACACCAGGGCATTTGTAGTTTGTTTTTGGGGTACTACTGAATCCTGGGTGGTGTCCTCGCTCTGATCTGTTACCTGGATCCCTTGGTGTCACGGACGCGGAGGCATTGTAACAAACTTGACTCCAGAGACAGGCTACTGGACACCATGCCTGACTCACACAGGGACCACCCAGAGTCGATCCTGTGTAAAGCCCTGGGAACACTGCTATTCCTCCATTGCTATTGCTGCTCACTAGGGCCCCTCACTTCTTTCACATGCCTCTCAAAGAGAGCATTAGGGAGTGGTAAGGCCAAAGACAGGGATCTCAGAAAATGGAGGCTATCAGGTAGATGTACTTAGGTTGTGGCAAGGTCAAAAGGGCAGCAAGGTGAAACTGAGGCAGTCCTGGATCCTGGGAACAGGTGAGCCAGTCTCTTGAGGACATGATGGTATCCCTCAGTCTTGCCAGGCATCACTGTGGTTACTCAGGACAGGTTTCATCATCAGCCGAGGGCAGGGGTCACACACAGGCGCCAGAGACACAGTGTGAGGCGACAGACTGCCGGGCCAAGCTTCGCTTTCTGGCCATCTGCCCTCTCTTGGGGGTGGGGGGCTCAAGGCCAGGGCCCATCATTGGCTAGTGCAGAGGGGAGGGCTTCAGCCCCAGGTCCTAGGGATGCTCACAGGCCCTGTTTTCAAGAAGCTCTGACCTGGGAGACTCCAGCCCCCACCAACACCAGGGGGCATGTCCTTGATCACAGATCCCACACCCCTAATCTGTACCCCAGGGCCTCAGTGAAGAAATTCAGTCCTTAATTCTCCAGGCACTTTCACATAGCCACAGTATAGCTGAAGCTTAGATCTCAGGGCAGCCCTAGGACCCCTGCTGTCCCCATGCCCAACATGGACCGAAACACAGACAGACAAGGCGGGGCCACACTGGCCAGTTTATTGCAGTTAAATACCTCTCTCTCTATTTTTTTGTCCATTTTTCCATAAAGAAAATTAAAACACACACACACGCACACACGCATACACACCCACACACACACCCACACACCCACACACCCAGAGGGAGCAGGGATCCAGAAACAAGAGGGACGGGGGACGTGGCCTTCCTGCACAGGTCCAGGCCCCAGGGAAGGCGCCCCCAAAGCTCCCTCCTTCCCATAAGCACCCTGTCTCAATACCCCTAGAGACCAAGGAGGCAGCGGGCAGCGGGGCCTCTGTCCTCCTCCCTTGCTCCTCCTGGTGAGGACTGAGAAGGGAGGCTGGCGGACAGGTGGGCAGGTGGGCATCATTTTCGCAAGGAGGAGGGTAGTGGGCAATGTATCCACAGAAATGCATTATGTCTCCTTGTTTTTGTTAAAAATCTACTATAAAAAAACGCAGCTTGGGGAGGGGCACCTCCCTCTCTGTGCTAAGGGCTGGGGGAGGGGCAGCAGAGGCCGGCAGCAGCTGCAGGGTAGGCCAGTGGGCATCACTGCCGGGTGCTCTCGCCCACCATTTCCAGGTTGTGCTGCTGCAACTGAGCTCGAAGCAGGGCATTTTCATTCTTCAGCTCCTCAATCTGCAGGCACCACAGAGGATACATGAGCCAGGGGGCTAGCCTTGGCATCCTGGTGCTCCCAGTGGGTTTCAGGTCTGCACCCACCTGCTGCCTCAGGAGTTCATTGTCCATCTGCAGCCGCTCGGCCTCCTTGAAGGTCTCCTGCATTCGCTGGTTGGTCTGGCGTAGCTCCCGGATGTAATCACAGGCCTTGGACAGGATGCCCCCTTTACTCTAAAGAGGGGAGCAGGCAAGAGTCAGAGGACAGGACAGCTCCTGTGCCTGGTGTTAGGTTAGACTTCCTGGAACGGACAGGACACTGGGGCCACTCACCGCTCCTGTCTTGCTGTTGTCTGCATGACAATCTGGAATGATTTTTGAAAGCTGGACGATCCAGTTGTTGATCTTGTCCCTCCGTCTCCGCTCCACTGTAGGAGACAGTGGCAGTCATGGCACTAGTAAGGATCTCACAGGGGCTCTAGGCTTCCACCTCCCCATGGGCCACACTGCTTCATGAGACCAACCAAGTCTCAATCCTCAAGTGTCACGCTGTCAGGACAGGAACCCACACTACCAACTGCAGGCTTGTTTCATTGCCTGCCTAGCACACGCTACACACTGGAGCCAACACGGAAAAACTATATTGTCACCCACACTCTGAAAATGCAGCTCTGGGCACTGGGACTCACACCTTTTTTTGAGGGGCAGAATCTCTTCATGCAGGATCCAGCAACCCCCATAGCTCCTGTAATCCTTGCATTTCATTCTCTGTATGTCCCTAGACTCTGGCTTCTCTCATTTTGCTTTTCCAATCTTTCTTTTTTTTTTTGTCCCCTTGGGGATAGGGTCTCATGTAGGTCAGGCTGGCCTCAAACTGTGTAGCCAAGGACAACTTTAAACTTCTCTGACCTTCTGGCCTCCATTTCCTAAGTGGCCGCTCTATACGTGGTTTTCTTCATTGTTGAGATGGAAGTCCACCCTCTACAACTGAGCTACATCCCAGCCCCTTTTTATCTTCAGTGTGAAAATCTGATCATGCCTTGCCTGTTTAAAATTCTCCTCCACAGCCTTGGCAAGCTGCACTTTCCAGACCAGGACTATGGTTCTGAGGCCTGGCCTTGTGGACCTCATCTCACTTGGAAAGTGAACCCCATACTTCGAAGGCAAAGCATGGCAAGTCACAGATTTCACTTCAAAGTCCAGACCCGTGCTTTAATGAAACTCTGTAACCCCTACTGTTAGCTATGCTGAGTGACAACTGTCTGCAGACAAGGCCTGTGCCCTCTTCTGGCTTGTCATATGTACAGGATGCCTGCCAGGAACTACCTGACTTGGAACCAGTTCCACAGCTTGTTGGAACAGGACTTTGGGGTCCTTCCTTACCTCCAGGGCACAGACCTCCTACTGTTGGGGCACAAAAGACTTTGGCACTCCCAAGCCTCCTCTTAGCCCCCATCCTTTTGCAGGAGGACTGGAGACACCTGTCAAATTTGTGGAGGGAAACAGGGCTTTGGGCCTGATGGGCTGAGGGAAAAGCGCGAGGGGCCATTTCCTAATGAGGGTAGTGAGGCTGGAAAATGGGAAAACTTGAAATGAGAGGGGTGGGTAAGGAGGGCTCCTTTCTCCTCAGACCTGAACTCACACCTTGCCAATGACGTTCCCTGAAAGGACCTCAGGCCCAGGAACAGGTGGAGGTCACTGCTTCTGCTTGGTCACTCCCACTCAGGCATGAGTGATTTCACTTTCCAAAGAGGACTCTCCCATTCTGTCCACTCCCTCTTCATAGCAATGGTTCTTTCTCTGAGATCTTCCCAATGTCCTGCCAAGGACACAGCCATGCCAAGTCTGGTAACGGCTGGGATGTCTCCACTAGGCTTAGGGCTAGCTCACTGTCACCATCAAGTATGGTGGAATCTTCTGAGAAGTTGGTGGCAGACTGCAGCAGCAGAGCTGGGTCTAGCCAGGGCCTAGAAGCACTACCCACCACGTTCCCTGGCAGAGTGCTCTACCTCGGGCTCTACAGGGCTCACTTAGTGCTTCCCCACCTGCTACTGTCCACTGTTCTAGAGTCTGGGTACCTGACAACACACCTCAACCTGTCAGGATTAAGGGTAGATGTGTGTGACAGTGCTCCTTTGGTCTGCATTTAGTTCTGCAAAATGTAGAGGTGTGTGGCTTTAAACACAGTGGACTCAACCTGGCTTTGCCCTGGTGGTGCTCATGATTGAGAAGATATGTAAACGGGGGTACTGTGCCCATGGAAGGAGGCGTGGAGCAGCACTCTGCATGGAGCCTGCAGTATGATGAAGCAGAAGCAGGTGGATCTCTGTGAGACTGAGGCCAGCCTGGTCTACAAAGTTAGTTCTAGGATAGCCAGGGCAAGGGCTGGGCTGTCACACAGAGACAGCTGTCTTGAACCCCCCCCCCCCACAAAAAAAAAAACCATTTGGGTTTCTGAGAAGGGTCCCAGACACACGGATAATAAGATCACACAAAAGATTACATGAACCACTTGTAGGGTGTGTGTGTTGTGTTTACATACGCTATCTAAAGCTTGTGTCCAGGTAGTAACATGGTTAGGCCCATGGCTTGGAAAAACTATTAGGACACACTGGATTGGCAGAAGGCCGGTCTCACAGAAGTCCACAGTTACAACAACACTTAAAACACATCTCACAAGCAGGGGTGGGGGCACACACCTTCAATCCCAGCACTCAGGAGGCAGGGGCAGGACAGAACTCTGTGAGTAGTCTGGCCTACATAGTGAGTTCCAAAATAGCCAAATCTACATAGAAAAATCCTGACTCAAAAACCAAAATAAGCCTGGTGGTGGTGGCACACGCCTTTAATCCCAGAACTCGTGAGGCAGAGGCAGGCGGATCTGTGAGTTTGAGGCCAGCCTGCAAGATACACACAGAAATCCTGTCTTGAAAAATAAAAAACAAAACAAAAAAAAACCCCTCATGTCACAATAGAACCTGTCAGGATGGAAGGAAGGATGGAACTAACAGTGGGAGACATTAGCATGCCTTTCTCCAAGAAAAGAAAGAAAACACCAGGCCGGAAAGCCCCAGGAAAGCCCCAGCCATCTCAGTCAACCCGCCCTCCCCGAGGAGGGACCTTTCCCAGCAGCAGGCGCACATCCACTAAGGTACACGAGGCACCTTCTCCAAGTTAGACTGGACACAGAGTCCAAGGTAAGCTCCACACCCTCAAATAACTGGAATCACATCAGCTACTCTCCGCATACAGAGATCTGAGAACTCAAACAAAAATGAGATCCTAAGCTCAATATACTTCCTGAATAACATGGGGTCAAAGAAGTCATAAGAAATCTGAAAAACATCCTGATATAAATGATAATGAAAATATTTGTCCAAATGTGACAAACAAAAGTCTGCAGCTACAGATCTGCACGAGGAAAAAGTTTGTTTGTTTCATCTTTAAGACAGATTCTTACAATGTACTCCAGGCTGGCCTCAAACTCATGATTCTGCCTCAGCCTCACCTGTGCTGGGATTACAAACGGGCACCATATCCAGTTTAAAAAGTACAGATTTGGAGATCCTTGCTACTAGGGACTATGAAGCAAGAGGCTTCCAAGTTCAAACCAGCGTGGACAAATTACTAAGACTGTCTCAAAAGTTAAAAAAAAAAAAGTGAAAAGGCTGGGGATAGTTAGTTACAGGAGAGCACTTTCCCCAGCACGGGGCCCTAGGCTCTACCCCAGGGCCATCAGAAAAAACTCTCCACAAGACCACTACCATAAATTAAGACCCCAAGTAGAAAGACTACCACAGTGAAATTAATAAAATAGAAAAAGCAACCAGGCTCAGCATTTAAAGTCAGGTTTCATGTAAAGACTGCATTTCCGCCTCCAGAGACAATAACTTCTGCTACCATTAACAACAGCTCCCCACATACCCCCTTGAAGCAGCCAAAGGTTCACTGCTCCCTTAGGGCCCTCTGGAGCTCCGAACCCCCACCCCTGCAGAAAAGCCAGAGGGAGAAAGGAAAGAGAAGCCTCAGGGAAACTCATGCTAGTAGAGTCCTGGGAAGGCAAGGGCAGAACTCTGAAAGCTGCATACATGGAGGCTCTTGGGAGGGTAGACAGCATGTTCTGTGTGGGTAAGTTGGGCTAAGTCTCATGGACAGCCAGACGTGGAGATTCTGTGTGGCAATTTCCAATGCCCAAAGAAGAGAAAGAAACCCCATCCTGTGGTACCATGGGGGGCGGGGGAGTCCTAGGAGGTTGGGAAGAGGCAACTATCACCTTTCTGGAAAAAAAAGTAAGACTTCTGGGTGCTTGGGATGAGTCTTAGGGGAGCTTTTCTGCACCTCTGGCCGGGGTAGGGGGTGGGGGGTGGGGGGTGCTTACTAGTAGATGGAAAAGGGACTCAGACCTAGGCCTTCAGGAACAGCCAGTCAAAGCCAGTTCCCAGTTCTGGAGGAAGTCTGCTGTAAGACAGCCATCTGCCTTCCCCTCTGACTTCAGTCAGAACCCCCAAGGCTCAGCCAGGAGAGCAGGTTAAGAGCTGGTTGTTGTAGGAATGGGTGGGGAGGAGAAACAAAGGCAGGCGACATTAGAATAAGAGTGAGCAGGAAAAGAAGGGACATTCTCAAAAGCAGTGGAGGTAGACCTGGGGTTAACAGGCAGGGGCAGATGCTTGGAGCTCAGACAGAAAAGGAAGCCAGTAGATTTGGCAATGAGTTCGTCACAGGTGACCTTCAGTGGAGCCAGTCTGGTAGGCCAGACTGCCAAGCCACAAGGAGGACAGGCAGATGGTAGTTCAAACCTCTACAGGTTAGAAGCCAGACGGCTGGTTGTAGCTGGAGGGTGGGGGTGGAGAGGTTATGGAAACTGCTTGTTGGAGGATGAAAAAACAAAGGCTCCAAGCTGGATGAATCCAGGGTAAGGCAGAATGAACTGGAGGGCGGGTGGCCGCCCTGCTCAGTGGGAGGCTGCAGTTAGGGGTGGGGGTTTAGGATCACTGAGGGTCTTAGTCATTTTACAGGACAACACAGGTGCCAAGGTTGAAAAACCAGCCTGAGGTGGGTAGATGAACTGTAACAGCCTGCACCAGAGGACCCTCAAATGCCCCTGCATCACTTCCAAACCAACCGCAAGCCCCAGTTCATCCTTTCCTTTCAAAGCCACCTGACCTGGGCATTAGGGCATTAAACTTCAACCAAGCAGCTCCAGAGTCTTCTCCTTATGCCCATTCTCCACAGCCTGCTACCTTGGACCAGGCCTCCCCCTTCCCAGAAGTCATCTCTAACATGTGACTTCTTAGTCTCTGGTTTCCCATCACCTTATCATCCTGCTTCCACACACAGACCCCACACTGGTGTCCCCATCACCAGACTATACTCCCAGGGTCAGAACAACCGCTCTGGGAAGAGCTTCTAGAGACCTGGTGTGAGCCAGCCTGGCAGGTCCTTTCCCAGCCCTAAGACCTTCCTCTTTCCCTTCCCCATTCTGCTCTTCCTCAAACTTCAAGTGTCTATAGCTGAGGGGCCTGGGCATTCCTCTGTGTCTCCTCGGGTCCCTGAGAGGACTCTGAAGTACTCTGTTCCACTCATTCAGCAGTCTCTTTCCAGTGCTGAGGGCACATGGTAAGTGTGTACGTCGTCTCCTCTCAGCGATGGTGAGAGCCCAGACCTTGTCTCTGCTGTTATCCACTGCACTTGAGGTCTAGACTGGGGTGAACCTGGGTGTATGCTTGGCCAAAAGCTTGCCAGCCGCTTAGAACAGCAGTACCCTATACTCCTATTTATATCAAAACACCCTGGAAACTCAGGGTCCGAGGCCTTCATCCTGGTTCAGTTTCAAAGGAACCACACAGAACCTCAGTGACAAGCAAACAGCATCTTTGAAACATCTTGACTCTCTTTGGCCTGTGTTCCTCTCTACTTGCTAAGTTCCCAGAAAAATCTTCCTGGGGAAACCTCCCTTCTGTGCCCTTCGTTATTTGTTAGCAATTCTGACTGAAGCCTCTAGGACAGGCTGAGGTCTTGGCACAGGGCCTATGCTGCTGCCCTGACTGGGATCCAGGGTCAACAAACATTTGTTGAGTGATGGAGTTTGGGTGTCAGAACTGCCTTGCCTTGAGGGCCTGTTACATGCTTTACAATGGTGACCAATCAAGGCTGGGAGACCAAGGAACAGCACTACCAGACAAAAGACCTCAGGGTGGAACGCAAAGCTTCCCGGAAGAGTGGGAGGCTCTGGCTTCAGTTGGTCAGAGGAGCAACTTCCTTTCACATAGGCTGCCTAACTACAGGTGGAAGGCAAGGGATTGAGAGGGTAAAAAACACATGTGGATGTGAGGTCAGCCATTTTAAGAGGCTGGCCAATAGAGCAAATCAAGATCACAGGCTGGGCATGAGAAAACATCTGGTCAAACCCAATTCGTGTCCTCTATCTTTCTTAACAGCTTACTGCCCCTTCACCCAACAGCCCTGACCCACGCACTCAGCATACACCTCTCTGGTATCTGGGCATGCCAGACGATGGGCTCAGAGCGCCCTGGAGCCCAGGAGCTGGCCAAGGACCACACCCCCATCCTCACCTTCGTTGTGCTGAGCTCTTCGTCTCTCATCTCGAGGAGTTCTGGTTCCATCGATTTTTCTAGAATAGAAGGGGAAATAGCAGATACCTAGTCTCTTCAAGTATTTACCAAGCTATCAGACTTGCAAACACCTTTTTTTCATGGCACTGGGGGAGAGCCCAGGGCTTTGCAAAATGTGAGGCAAGCGTTCCACTACTAAGTCACCTCTCCAGTCCAGATTTTTTTTTTTAAACGGGTACTTCAAAAGCAAAAGCTAACAAAACCCATACCCCATTCCTGCTCTGTACTGACAGACCCAGCTGTTAGGCCAAAAAAAACCCCTCCCTTTCCTTGGCCCCCCGACAATGGGACTACGGCACATACGGAGAGTAGGGGTGTGTCCGGGGTGCAATTGTCCTCTGTGTTCCTGTCTGAAGCACATCCTGGGGTGTCATCATGACATAGAACTGGCCTGCAGGAGATGTGCAGTGAGCATCAGTGAGAGGTCAAGGCGGAACTGCTTAAGTGACTTCCCTAGCGCTACCGTTCCTCCCCTTACCTCCGGCCTGTAGGCTCTGGTCTGTGGTCTGGACAGACACAGCGGTGGTATCTCCCACACTGGATGCTGGGAAATATGCAAACCGTGCCTCCCCGCTGACTGCTTCTGCGGCTGGGCTGCCACCATTGCTGAATGGATTTTGAATTACAGCCTAGGGACAAGGACACAGGCCATTCTTAGCCAGGGTTTCCCCACCTTTGTTGTTGGGGTCGGTGTTTATTTACTATGCTGTGAGGTCAGGGGGAAGCCCGCTGTGGGTACCTTTCTCTCTAGTATCTCATTTCTGACTCAACTGCCACTAGCTCAGCTACTCTACTTATTTTTTTTTCTAAGTTTTTCCCTGTCTTATAGAAAAAAAAAATTCAAGAGACCTGTCCAATCTCTGTGCAAAACTTCAACCTTACCCAGCTCGACGGCCAGGAGAACATGTGTGTGTGTCACACACCCGACCCCATGGGGCTTCCCCCGCCCCAGCCCCTCCCCGGCAACTGCGGGCCACCTACCAGCGGGAAGGGTGCCGCGGGACCTGGGGGTACAGAGGCAGCGGCCGGGCCGGGGCGCTGGGCTGCCCCGTCCACACCCACCTGGGTCACAGCCTGTTGCCCCCCCGCGAAGGCAGCTGTGGACACGACGCTGACGGCGCCGGCCGCGTCGCCCTGGCCGTCCAGCTGACCGTCAGTCACCTGGACTACGCGGTATGTCACCTGCAGGGGGCGGCAGAGCGACGAGACCGACGCTAGGGCCCGGGTAGGGGCCAGGTCGGGGGCCTCTCCCTGACCCGCCGCACGCATCCACCCTCCCTCAGCTCGCCCCGGCGCTGGCCCGCGGGGCTCCCGGGCAGCGGCCGCCTCACCTGGCCTCCATTATTCTCTGTGCGGAACTGGTACTGGATATTGTGGTCGCCGAACGC